AAACATTTCAGGCTGTTTGAGGCCAGCCGGCATCCAATTCTCTCACCTCTGCTAGTTATTAAATCTTTCATATTTTGATTCCCCACCAACCCCAGACATTGAAAGGGGAAAAAGATAGATGGCTGTTTCAGAACATAAATTCTGGAGAGAAAAAGGGGGAATATTACAGGCATTCGCTGTTAGAAAGCGCTAAAAAAGGGGGAATCGGAGAAGATTTGCTTGGGATTTATTACAGGCATTCGCTGTTAGAAAGCGCTTGTCAGCAAATGGGATATCCCACATTCGAATGGATAAAAGCCATCCTTTTCTTTTAAAGGAAAACGGAGAGACTTAATACTCTTAAACGGAGAAAGCTTGAGAGCGCACGGAGCAGGCTGAGATGTTCCCCCAAAGGAAAACCCTCTCTGCCTCCCACCTGCATGGACCAAGACTCGGCTCCAAACTCATGCGGAGAGGCGACAGGACGCCTCCTCCGAGAGCCGGCCACGGGGCTGCGTCGGGAACTGAACAATTCCAGCAGACCCACCGGTGGCACCAAAGGGGCCTAAAAAAAAAAGCCGAGATTTTCTGCATGTCAGATTTTGCCACCTTTTCCCCACAAGGAAAGGGAAAGGCCAGGAGAGGGGGCACGCGCCCTTTTTCTCAAAGACAAAATGCTCGCAGGGAACAAGTCCAGGAAGGAAGGAAATGTCCTGGGCCACCGTCCAACAGGTTCAAAACGCCACCCGTGGAAGCGAGGGCGGGAGGAGACATCGCTCCTTTTGAACTCTGGACCACTTCCAACTATTTGGGGAGAGAGGGTGGCGGCGTTTGTACGCCCTGAACATCGAGAGGTCCAAACTTTCCGATTTTCCATTTAGAACCGGTGTGTGTGTGATTTTTCAGCCCGAGAGCTGAATTCCGATTCAGAGATGTTCTCTGGGTGGGCGGGGTGCATCTTGCGGGTGGGCGGGTCCAACGGCAAAGGGGTGGAGCTACAAACACCAGCACATTTTAACTTGCCTCTAAGCACTCTGGCTCTATAGACGCTTGTTAGCCTGTGAATTTAGGGGAGGGAGGGAGGAAATCAGTAAGCAAGGTGGGGAAAACCTCCAAACAGCTGGTTCAAGAAGGAAGGAGCCAAGGGCCACCTGGGGAAACTCAGAGGGCAGTGCAAAGGCGATTCCCCGCGCTGGATTTTTAAAATTCCCAATCCCTTCTGGCGCAGGACTACAAAACTGATTCAAAAAAAGTTGAGACACTAACACACACACACATCTGCATATGTGCATGACACACTTACAACCCAGTCTACTGACTACAGACCATATGATGAGGGACACCGTGTTTCGTTACAGACCTTCGCCGCAGTGGGGTTTCGGGAATATCCGCAGTGGGATTCTGCAGAAAAAGCAGCCTTCTAGAAAAATAGTAACGAACGAGACCCAATGCATCTCCCGTCGGTTTATGGGAAGACCAAACGGTCTCTTGCAAGTCCTTTTCCTCTTCAGAAGTTCATCACACATCCCAAACGTTGCATCGCCCCGAGATCGCATGAGACTTTTTCAGAATTATACCCTTCGGGCAAGGATGGGGCAGAGGCCAAACGTGGACACGAACCCCCGTCTCCGGGCAGGAGAGGTTCTCGGCTTGGACAACCTTGTCTCTCCTGCTCCGAACCCAAACGAGCACCACCGATCAAGAGCAAAACGGCAAAATACATTAAGGAGAGCGATTTGGCTCACGGTCTAAGCAGAGGCATGAGGCAGGAAGCAGGATGGAAGGGGGGGGAAGGTGAAACACCCTCCACCCGGGAAGGGCAGATGGCATGTTTCATGGAGTGTCTCTACACTAGACAATTATATCCGGTTAACGCCGCTTGTAACACTCATGGGTCCGTTTCACAGAACTCAGGAACGACTATTTGAGGCAGGGACTTCCAGACTTTTGCGAGACCACTAGGGTGAGCCCCCCCATAAACTGCAGCACAGAATTCTAAGGATCTCACAGAGGGGCAAATCCTGGGATCCTCTCGGCTCAGTCAAAAACAGTCTAAAACTACGTTGCCTCGGCACCATCTCGGCCAAAACCCCAAACCAGCTGTCAAGCTTTGCTACATTCCCTCAGTGGAGTTTCATTCTTTTAAAAAAGGCTCGTTCGGGTGGGTTTTGATTTTTCAAACAAAGACACGCCGCCGTTCCACATTTCCCCTTTGGGGCAGGGCTCAGCCGAAATCACACATTCATTGTCACATCCCCGTCTGCAGGCCACGAATCCGGGGGAACGGGGTATCGTTGG